GGAGGGCGCCCGCCTACCAGCCCGGGCTCGGCAGTCAGTCCTTTCCCTGGGGGTTTTGGTGGTTCGGCTTCCCGTTGGGGCTCCGTGAGTCAACTTACAGGTCTCAGTGCACCTCGGCTGAGTTTGCTAAACGGCGATCTGTACAAACGTGTGCATTTCTTCCCCGGCGTAAACTTTCCAGCTCCTCAGGCCCACGTGACAGTACCTTCCTGTGTCCAAACCTGGCTCAGCAATTTTCTGCTTAGAAAACGAGTTCTGGTTAGACGATGACTCCGTAGAAGGATAACTGGAGGCTGGGAGAACTGACGACAAAATATTAGAGATTTTTTTATTTGCGGGATTTTTATATTGCTCTTAAAAGCAGGAAAAAACATTGCAGTAAAAAGTAGCTTAGATGCATCTGTCTTGAGGGGGAAAAAAAACGAGTAAAACAGGCCTTGGCAGATATACCCTAAAGAAAATGTGTTGAAAATAGCAAGGATCACTTTTTAAAACTTTTCTGGAGTCAGCAAATGACCAGGTCAGGAATTTTTGCAAGGTAATTCTAGCGTAAACTACACCTGAAATGATGTTTTTTTTACATTCTCATTGAAATATACTATAGGGACCAACAGTTAGCATAATGGCTATGGCTGTCACTGGGCTCCCATGTAGCCGACTGCAGTTCGAGTCCCAGACCCGGTGGCTTAAACTCAGGCCAGGCACTTGTGTGCGCACCCAAGATCCTGAGAGGAGAATGGAAGAAAAGGGATTGCGGTGTGACCGTCCCTCCAGGGGTTGATTTCTTGCTTTCTGTCTCTCTGTCTTTCTGGCGAGCACATGTGCCCTATAACAAAAACTTTTCAAAAAAAAGAAATACACTCTAATATTTTCATAGAAAGAAAGATGATGGATTATTAGCCTATAATTCCTTAAACCTGAGCTGAATAAAGATAAATGTGGATTATTGAAGTTTGATCATTAGTTTTGAGAATTTTCTGATTTGGGTAATATTTGTACATTTATCTTAAGATATGTTTTAATGATCACCTAATCATGTGAGAAATGTTTAAAGTTTCAGCATAATTAGGTTTTTGTTCTGTAGAGCAGAGATATAGTATAATTAGCACTATTTGAAAGTTTCACATATTTTTTAAATAGTGACATTCATATTACCCTTGCAAAACAATTTCGAGAACACTTAAATTGCTGATTTCATTATTTACATATTTGTAAAGTGTTCTTGCATATCAGTTCCTGAAATCAGAATTTTAAAAATTATATTCTAGATATTCCCATGAGTGACTAGAGTGTCCCACAGATTGTCATTTGCCATTTTTTGGAGTGAAAATGAAAAGTATTCACCAAATCCCGTGTGTGTGTGTGTGTGTCTAGAGATTTTGCTATAGGATGTGTATGCTCGCCAGAGAAGCAGAAAGCAAGAAATCACCCTCACAGGAGGGATGGCCACATCTCACTCCCTTCTACATTCTTCTCTCAGGATTTTGGGCACGCACGCACATGTACCTGGTGTGAGTTTTAAGTTGCTGGGGTCAGGACTCAAACCACAGTTGGCTATTTGGGAGTCAGCAATGTAACCATTACGCCATCTGCTGGTCCCTCCTAAATGTTTTTAATACATAATACTTAAGAATGCATTCTTTTCGTCCCATCTTACTGTTCAGTATCTTTTTTTCTCTCGATATTCCGAGTGTTAAGAGAGAAGAGAAAGAGGAACTCCTATACTGCTAGATTCAAAAAAGAAGTGCAGTGAACAAAAGATAGACAACCAGAAAAGGTACCAAAGCAAGAAGGGGAAACTCGAGAAATGTCAAGTAGAAATTTGTGGGGAATATACAATCAGATTCAGTCAACTTTCTATGACAAACTGGAATTTGATTTAGATGAATGGCAAGAAGTTATGGTGAGAAGGTTGATTATCAGAGAACTGTAAGAGGAACTGCTTGCTTTAAGGAAATAAAACTCTGGCCCTTCAGTGTTTAGCACTGGTAAGACTGAAGCCCTCCTCTCTGCCAGAATGCTCTGTTTAACGTTTTTAAGAGCGCATAATGACCCTTGACATCAGCTTTGTGACCCATTAATGAATTGCCACCATGAAAGACACCAGAATTTAGAATCTAAAATATCAGAGTATGTCAAATGTCATAAGGGTAGTTTTCCCCAAAACTCAAATTTGGGGAAAATTATGTTACAATTATATGTATGTTTTCTGGATTACAATGTGAAATGTATTTCTTACTACAGTTCTCAAAGAATGGGAGAAAAACCACTGTTATAACTGGCCCTTGCCTAACTTCTATGCCTCATCCTTCAAGGTTAAGACTAAGAGAACCAAAATCCCACTCTGCACCCCCCTTGCATCCCCTCTCTAAACTCCAGAATCTGGTCTGAGGATTCTTCGCAGGTAATTGACTAATTGGCTTACTATTGATTAGAGAAAGATTGTTGTCTCCAACTAAAATCCAACAGTGTATTGTTAACAATATAATAGCATCTACCAAACTAAAGCTACAGAGTAAAACGGAACTTATTCTTCAGAGAAGCAGAGGTAAGGAGCATGACGGCAAGAAGACCTGAAACGGATCGATGTGTGTTTAATAACCACGCAGTTTGACGCATCTCTGTGGTTGCAGTTTGCAAAGTATTTCATATCTCATGTTATTACCTCTCCTCCCATCTCTCCTTCTCTCATTTTAACTAGTCTCTTCTCCCATCTCTACTTAGCTCATTTTCCCCACCCTTTTGTCCTCTACTTACTGGGAACATCCTCTGAGAAGCCTTCCCTTAGCTGCTTTTGCTCTCTTTCTTGAAAATTACTTTAGGTTCAGCCTGATGGTGCATTGGTTGGCAAAGTAAACTGCAGAGCTAGAGGCTAATTGTGGGTTTGAATCCTCAGGCTGACCTGAAAACAGTCCTGGCATGTGCATGCCCTCTTGGATGAGACCCCGAGGAGCTGGAGGGCTGGGGAAAGGGGATTGCTGTGTGGCTGGACTCTATCACTTTCTCTCCCTCTCGCTCGCTCATACTCACATGTGTTCTCCATCATGAATAACATTCTTAAAAACTTTCTTAAAAATGATTTAAATTGCTTCCTCTGCTAGACTGTAAGCTCTGTCAAGTAGGGACAATGTTGGTATTGATCAGCCTCCACTCCTCTAAGTATAGCTGAACACCCTAGCCTACATAGACAATCGGTAAAGATAGGAGGAGAATGAATGGTGAATGGATGGGTAAACTCAAATTCAAAGACCGGGTAGTTTTTTTACTCAAGATACTGGTTTTCTAAAAAGATAAATGTTATGTCAATAGACATTAATTCTGGCAAGAAAATTCCTGTAGTCAGAAGAATATTTTGAATGACAGTGTAGCATTGGACAACGTTGGCTCTGTTAGTAACTGAGTATTTTCTTACAGGTCCAACATCTTCAAACCTCAAAGGGGGTTGGACTTACTAAATTTTATTCTTGATGAATGTTCTAATAGGGTGTACCCCTTGGGAACTCTGGGAAATCAGGGCAGGCCACCTGGAGCCTCATTTGCATGAGGTCTCCTCAAAGAACCTGACAGACACTGAGGGATAGCAATTAATTATCTGAAACGAAGGGTGTTGGACAAAGGCTGCCCCAACAGCAAAAAAGGGTGGAAGGGACTAAGGGGAGAATAAGAAGACACAAGGTCTTGCTCTGAAGAGTCCCATTAATGATTGACTGTGGGGCCAGGTGCATGCATTTGAGTATAAAGCTTAAAGAACCAAGCTGCCTTGTGGGTGTACTGGGATTGAGAGGCAGGAAGGAACGTGCAGGACAAAGAAGAGTGTCAAAAAGATTTTCAGTTGTTAAAGAGAGAATGCCTCCCCTATTACAGTACAGTAGATGGGCAGGAGTTCCAGAAACAGACCTTGAGGCCTGCCATGTACTCTGTTCTTCTCTGGAATCTGTTTTTTTCCCTTACCACTTGGAGAAGGCTTTTTTTTTTTTTTTTTCTCTCTCTCTCCATAGGGCATGTATACTAGCCAGAGAGAGACAGTGAGAGGGAAAGTGAGAAATCACCCTTCCCTAAAGGAGATGGCCACACCACAATCCCTTCTCCATTTTCCTCCTGGAATTTTGGACACTCACACCCAGATTTTTAAGCCACCAGATCTGGGACTCAAATGATGGTCAACCATGTGGGTTCCAGCACTTTAACCACCACACCACCTGCTAGCCCTGACCTACTCATTTCTACAGTCCCAGTCCTGTCATTAATTACCTCTGCTAATAGTAACCACCTTTTATAAGCATTTATTAGATCTAAGGAATTTCTGAGCATTCCACACAAAATCCTGTATTTAATTGTTATAATAACTCTAGTGGACAGCTATTAATATACTGATGAGGAAAGAAGGTGACAGCGAGTGACTTGCTCTATGTCACTAAATTAAAGACTGAATTGTACCCTCTCACTCCCTCCCCCAGATTCACGTGTTAAAGTCCTAATTCTTGGTATAACTGTTCAAAGATGGCATCTTTAGGAGATACAGTGGTTTGACTGTTTGTATTCCTTCCAAAATTCATGTTGAAATCTGACCAAAATAAAACTAAGGGGTGGGGCCTACAGGAGGGGATGAAGTTATGAATTTGGAGCCATTATGACTAGGTTGTGGTACCTTATTAAAAGCTTAATGGGACCACCTTGTGGTATGATGCATAAGGCAGCTGGATCCTGTGTGGTCAGCTGTGCAGTTCAAGTCCCAGACTCAGTAGCTTGAGAAACATACCAGGTACATGCGCATGCATGCCCAATATCCCTAAAGGAGGGAAAAGTGGAGGAGAAGGGATTTCAATGTGACCATTCCTCATAGGAAAGGGTGTTTCTTTTACTCCCCCCACCAGAAGGACCACATGTGCCCTCTGGCAAAATTTAAAAGAATAAAAGGTCTTAATGTAGAGAGTTTATCACTTTTTGACTTCTCCTTTCTGCCACGCGAGGGTAGAGCATTTGTTCCCTTTGTTGAATGCAAGATCAAGGTGCCATCTTGGAAGCACAGAGCAGCCCTTACCAGACAAGTAACCTGCCACCCCCTCAATCTTGGACTTCCCAACCTACAATACTGTGAGAAAAAAATTGTTTTAAATAAATTAACCAGTCTAGTAATTTATGTTCCCCATGGGGTTGATTTCTACCTCTCTCTTTCTCTCCCTTCCTCCTTCCCTCTTTGCCTAGGGCTTATACTGTCTAGCAAATTTAAAAAAATAATAAAAGAGCAGGGCCCTAATTCAGTAGATTTATGCCCTTGTAAGGAGAGAGAGCCAGTTTCATTGTCCTCCATATGTGGACACAGTGAGAAAGGATTTGTCAACAAGCTAGGAAGAGGGCTCTTACCAAGAACCAAATCTGCCAGGCCTTGATATTGGACTTTCCAGCCTCCTGAACTGTGAGAAAATAAATTTCTAACTTTTTAAGTCACATGATCTGTGGTATTTTGCTATGGTATCCTATCTTAATCTGCTATTGTGTTGCTAAATAGAAATACCCAAGTCTGATTTATAGAGGAAAAAAGGCTGGTAGCTGGAAAGTTCAGAGGCATGGGGCTGGCATCAGGGCAACCTCTGGTGCAGAATCACATGTCCAACAGAAACAGTAAGGCAGGTGGGGGCAACCATCTTACTTTTCTAACAACCTGCTCTCATGGGAACTACCCCATTCTTGCAAGAGCTAGATCTCACTCTCTCCAGCCAGATAGCATTTACAAGGGCAGTTCCCCCTCTCCTATCCAAAGAGGACCTACTAGGCTCCACCTCCTAAAACTCCCATTACCTCTCAACACCATTACACTGGAGTCCAAGCTTCCAAAACATGAAATATGGGGGGACAAACCATAGCCACAGCCCAAGCAGACTCAGAGTCACATCACTTTAAATATAATCTGACCCAGTTTTAGCATTGAGTATTTCTCTTCACAGGGAAATACAAAGAATCTCCCTGCTTTGCCAGATGGTTGCATCATTTCCCCTCTCTGTTCCTTAACACTGCTTCTCCTATAGCACACATGGTATCAATTTTAACATTAAATGTCTCTGAAATCAGAGTGCATGTTAAAATGGAAAGGATGTCATAGTTTCATTTTCAGATTATAGAACATAGTGGAGTATCTTATAATTAATAGCATCTTAGGTTAAATAAACACAGCATATTGTATTATAATTGTGTATGTTTCATTCACCCAGAAGACAGAGACTGATTTACTCCATTTTGTGTTCATAGCACCTAACAATTCCTGGCACATAAAAGGCATTTGGCAAGTTTTTAAAATTCAGTTGCAGAAAGAATGTCATCTACCCAATGGGGTGACAGGTGGATGGAATCTAGTAGCTAAGAGTAACCACTATGCCCTCTTAAACTCTTGATTGTCCCCAATGCTCTGGTGGCCTAGGAAAGCAAAGTCCCTATCTGACCCTAAAGGTCTGTGATAGTTTCCCATGGCAATTAATTTATCATGTCCCCCCTCTACAAGTTATCATTTATTATCCTTTATGTTACCTTCAAGCAATTTTTAAAAATAATTTAAAGCAGTTATATTCAAGCTATATTAAAGAAGCTTTTTAAAATCTAATTTCAAAAACTCAGATCCAGTTGTGTTGACTTCAGATGAAGGGTGACACTCAACTGACAGAAGTGTTTGTTTTGGTCTGTGTTTAAATTTTGAGTTGAACGTCAAGAAATAACACATTTAGGGGCCAGTAGGTGGCTTGATAGTTAAGGTGCTGGACTCCCACGTGGCCAACCGTGGTTCAAGTTCTAGACCTAATGGTTTGAGAAATCATACTGTGTGTGTGTGTACATGGCCCAAATCCCAAAAGACTGGAGGAGAAGGGATTGTGGTGTGGCCATCCCCCAGGGTGGGTGATTTCTCACTTTCTGGCAACTGCACACACCCTATAACAAAAATTTCTCTCTCTCAAAAAAAGTCTGTATATTACACATACTATTAAACCATATATTATGCATATTCTCAGCATCTCTATTAACCATCATTCCTTGTTCTTAAATCTAGAGCAATGATTCTCAACACTGGCAACATAGTTACTGGACCACCTTTAAACAAAAGCAGTTCTCAAATGCTGGTGCTGCTGGTTCAAGAGCTGTACTTTGAGGACCATTGAAAAGGTGAAAGAGGGGCTGGCAGAAGGTTGGGAAAGGCTCCAGAAGGCCTCACACAAACTGCAGATTGTGTCAATAGCTCACTTGTACACAGTATCTTAAGGAGTGTGTGCCCAAGGAAACCAAACCTCAGGAAGTCCTGCTTAGGATTCTGAGCAGATACTACCGAGGCCAAATTTGACCCAGAGACATGTGGCTTCATATCAGTGAATGTACCACATGGGCTCATGAGCTAGTATGACCAGCAGCAGCCGTCACTGGGTACTGAAGACCATGGGCTCTTCTCTACAGTTTCTGGGTTTGTGTACAACCCAAGGGAAGGGATGGGAACTAAGAAGAAAATACACATGTATTGGATTTTCTACCTCTAGTATGGAAGTTCAGTCAGGTTGGATTTAATTTGAAAAATTTAAGAACTGTGATAGTCCATGTGACTCAGGTATCATGGAAACAAGTTTTAGATGTGCTATTGAAAATCTCTCATGCTTCCATAGCACTTTAATTTCATATGTAAGCTCTCATGTTTCTGTAAATATTTGTGCCCCACCACATAATGAAACATAATCATGAACCTGATAGTATGAGGAGATTGGGGTCTTTGAGAGGGTATAAGATCATGAGGATGGGTTTCTCTAGAATGGGATTAATTGCCTTACAAAAGAGGTCCCAGGGACTTACCTTGCCCTTCAGCTATGTGAGGACACAGTGAGAAATCACCATCTATAAGCCAAGTAGCAAATCCTCACCAGACACACAACCTGCCAGTACATTGATCTTGGATCTTAGACTTCCCAGTCTCCAGAACTGTGAGAAATAAATTTCTGTTGTTTATGAACCACCCAGTTCATGGGATTTTGTTATAGAAGCCCAAATAGATGCTCCACCTACTTATCTGATTTTAACTACAAAACTCCCCTTTAGAGTGAGCATAAAGCAAAAAGGTAGTGTAATATCAGAAATTTAGAATGCCTAAGAGCTCCCAAACATAGGTGATAAAATTCTTACTCAGAGAGCTGTTTGAATTTCCGACTTGTGAGGGCCAGAAAAGGGGTGAGGAAGAAAGGGATTGCCATTAAACTTCCAGTTGAGAAAAATGTCAGTCCTTGCTATCAGTATCTTGTTTTTAGAAGCAAAATAGTTTTTTCTTTTGAATTTGTATTCCTGTCCTGTCTGTTTAAGTGAGCATTTACTACATTTTCACTTATATACATACTCTTACACACACACACACACATACACACACATATGCAGTCAACATGTAGATAAAGAAATATCCATTTTATCCAAATTGTTTTGATTTTTTTGTATATATTGCTTTTAAGGTTCATGCTCTTGTGTTTATTACTATTATTAATATTATTCTGTGTTTTTGTAGGCCAGGAAGTAAACCGGTTTCTTAAAAAGGGTTTGGTAATCGATTCACTAGTAACAAAAGCAGTAAACTATAGTTGTCTCATTTCTAGATCTCCCTTTTTTTTAAAAATAAAATTGGGCTACTTGGATAAAGCACAGAAGCTGGAATACTGTCGGTACTCATTCAATAGACAGATACCGAAGGCTATACAAAAGAACTTTTTCTAAGAAACAGGAACTGAAGAAAATAAAGCCTGATGATCATTTAAGGATGATTCATTTTTATGTTTCATGTTTTCAAATTATAATTTATGTGTAATACAATTAACAATAAATGTACAATTCAGTGAGTTTTAATCAATACAGAACCATATGTCCATAATACAGTTATGTTATAGATTATGGAATATTAGCATCACTCAGAAACTTCCCTGGTACTTATTTGTGGTCAGTCTCCTTTCACCATCTCCTGAAACTACTAATTCTTTTGCCTTCTTAGAAACAGTCATATAATCATGCAGACTTTTGTGGCTGATATCTTTTGCTTAGCACAATCTCTTTGAGATTCATCTATATTGTTTTACCAGTAGTTTAGACTTTTTAAAATACTGTGCACTATGAAATATTATTGTTAACATTCATTTCTCTTTTGTGACCATTATAAATCAAACTAATATACGCTTTGAAATTCATCTCTCTGTTTTAATTTTCTTTGCATGCCTACCTTGGAATGAGGTTGAGTTTCATAGTGTATCCTTAACTTTATAAGAAATTGCAAAATTGTTCTATAAAGTGGTCATATAATTTTACATTCTTATCAGTAACATATGAGAGTTCTAGTTTCTCCCCATTCTTATCAACACTTGGTATTGTCAGTCTTTCAGTTATTTTCTGTCCAAGAAAACTTGGACTAACCTAAGGTCACAAATCGTTGTGATTTCTCTTTATTTATTTTGGGAGTTTTTGTAGTTTTAGCTTTCATACTTAGTACGAGGATCTCTTTCAACTTAAATGTTTGTATAGTGTAAGGTAAAGTTTGAGTTTCTTTTTTTCCCAAATAGCCAGTTGTAACACCTTCTGTGAGAAGACTGTCTTTTCTTTGTAGATGAAAAGATATTTCCTCATTGAGTTTCTTATACCTTTGTTATCATCTCTGACATTGTTTACTTTCACAAATCTCATTTGATCTCCTAACCAATCTTTCCTCGCTCAAGACTATCCTCACCATAGTCAGGTTTAGGCTAAAATAATAAATCAACAAAATAATAAATAAACAAACAAACAAACTTCTATAGTAGATTCTGTAACACATTGCTCAAATCCTTTTCCAGAATGTTCCTGCTGTTGGACATGTTGGCTGGCCATGGCTCACAGTTGTGTCCCCCTCCAGGAATTGACCTCACCTGGGGGAATCTGCCTTGCCCAAGATTGTATACCCCACCCTGACCCCAGAGCATTCATGGCCAGTGACTTCTCAGTATACTAAGAAGGCTTGACCTTAATGTAGAACAACTCTAAACAGTCATTTCATCTTCAGAACTCCCCATGTGATTGGTTGCAGCCTGTGGTAAAACTGCATTGTAACCCAACTTCCTCCCTTTCCTTCTCTCTGTTACAGGTGTCATCTCCTGAATTATTTCTCATATGAATTGCAGTGTGTGAATCTCAGAGTTTCAGAGACTCTCTTAGAAAGTCTGACCTACCATAATCTTAAAGCTGATTATGTCATTTCTCTGCTTAAATCTGCTTGCCAACAGATTGAAGTATTAACTCCTTAATTTGTCAAGAGAGGCTTTCTCAGGCTGGATCAAATCCATCTCTCTCTAAACAGCTTCCTCTGTTCTGTCCTTGGTTCTGTCCTTCAGATAGCCTCGGATACCTATCCCAACACCCGCCCCCATACCTATTTACATATGGTCTTCTCTCTACCAGGAATAACTTTCTGCTTGTCCTATTCTTCCCTAAAGCCTTGAATCAGGTGTTATCTTCTTTGGAAAGTCTCCTCATTTTCCCTCATAGCATCGTGCAGCTCTTTATGTAAGAATTGTCTAACTTGTTTACTGATCTGACTCTCCTCCTAAATCGTGAGGTGCCTCTAGGTAGAGACTGTATCATAGGCCCTGTTAGTCTTCAATGCATCATAGAGTCTCAATACAGTTTTTGTGAATGAAAGAATGAAGGAGTAAACACCAAGATAAGCTTGGCACTGTTAAAAGTATAAAACCTTTGGAAATGTGTGTTAGACCTGGTTCCTGATATCTTGTATTTAGAATACTATATATCTTCTTCAACAGATAGATAATTTCTTTTGTAAAAAAGCTTTTTTGAATACTGGACTACCATTTTGGCCAGCAGCAGTACTAGCATACTTTTCAAGATGAAATGAAATTCTAAATTTCGGATTGTTAAAGCTAGTTCTGCTTATAAAAAAGACAGCTGGCAATAGTGATAGAGTGGCAACACAATAAATAGTCTTGATGTCCAACCCACATGGAAGGTTCCAGGTTCAAGTCCAGAGGTCTCCTTGGACATGCCAGGCGTACACACGTGCCCATGGTCTGGGATAGCTGAGGCTAGGGGTAGATCATGGAGTGTAGACTCTGTTGCGGGTAGAAGACTGTCTCTGGTAAAACTTCCCATGGAACAAGATGAATTTTTTTTTTTTTTTAAATAGGGAATGGGGAGGACTAGGGTGGAAACACAAATGATTTTAGGGGAAAAAAATAAAAAGAAAAGAGACTTGATTAAATTGGATTGGCTGGAGAGAGGCTGGAAATTTTCTTCCCATTCCCAAGAGGCTTATTTTTTTATCTTTCTTTTTCACACTGTAAAGTGTCAAATTAAATTGCAAAGTTAATTCTCATCACTAAGGAAGGGATTCTAAATGTACTAATTAAGGATTACTGAGCACTTTAATTTTATACATCAGAATAAAAACTTTTTAATAATTAAATAACTTTTTCAATGTTACATATTTATGTTATTCTAGGATATTATAATTTAACATCAAGACTTTAGACTCTAGGTTCCAGAGACTCAGATAGCTATTTTAAAATTAGAACTTGTTCTTATTGATATATTTGATTTTATGAATTATGATACTGGAATTCCCTTGAGAAATTATGTTCTTTTTTTCTTCAGAGGTAAAGTTCTTAACAGAATGAGATCTTATCTTGCAGGAAACCATGAATTCACTGTGAAGAAGAATAATTTGGATTTCACTCTGGAAGAACATGAAGTACCTTTTGAATTTTTTACTGTCTCTTTCAGTGATTTATCTTATGCATGAAAATAACCTTTAGTATTTCTCAAAACCAATGACTGACTCTATGGAAATGAAACTACTGTTTTGTAAGAATATCTAAGGGAATGAAAAGCAAATTATTTCTTTTTGGTGAGGTAACCATGTAAAAAGAAATGGAAGAGTATTGCATCTTTGAAAATCCAGGGATTTAGTAGTTATGTCAAAAAAATTTTCATATATTTTAGACAGTGAAGTAGTCACTGTTGGAATTGTTACCTTCTTTACAAATATATGTCAAGATTATAAATTCTAAATTATGAAAATGTGGACTGAATATAACTACAATCCAATTTAAAATGAAAGACTTTCTTTTTTCGAATGTGCTTTTGCCTTTTAACATTTAACTTGG